GTGGCAGAAAGGTTCTGTGTGATTATGACTAGTACCCTAGCAAGGCTCTAAACGGCATCAAATTTTCACTCATTTCCAAGCATAAGAACTCTGGGTACTGTTTCTTCTCTTACCACCACTTTGCCTCCCTTGCCTCTCCCCTGAGAGCGAGCGAGGAGGATTCAGCATTGATCGAAGTGGAGAGGTGGGAGGAAGAAAGAAGAAAAACACACGGCTCTTGGTTTCAATGACCACAAAACCTTTTCAAAGTTCCTTAACTATAACGCTGCTCGTATTTTTAAAAAGCTCAGCCCTTATTGGCCAAAAAAGTTACCTTGACCCTAAGACCATGGCTTTTCAAATGTTCTTCACCATAGCCCATAGTGAAAAAAAATTACACCATAATCCAGTAGACACACACATGTGCACATGCATGCTATGAAACAATATACTTACATCTACTACGTGCAATGCACTCTGGTATTTTCCCTTTTCTATTTTACGTCATTAAAAAAAACGTTATCAGTTACAATCTCCTAATTGATTTCATTACTTGCTAGTGGGTCACAACTTGGACCCTAAGAGACAGGAAGGTTTACGAAAGATTTCAGAAGTAGGTTCACAGATCCCTTGAATCTTTCTTTCCTTTTGCATTTCAAGACATTGCAAAAAAGAAGCAAGTCCAGCCCATTTCCTGGGAAATAAAACATCGCTGTGTGCAGAGTTCACACAGTGCGCTGTTTGACAGTAAATAAGAAGTTTCTATATGGAGTTTCTTGTGTGTTTGGTTGCTGTGGCCGATTAAGCTGGCTGGCAAATGAGATTTCAAAATACAGGAATCTCTCTTAGGCAGGGCCTTGGTGCCCTGTGGAAAGTAGGATCATCTGTCTCCAGTATCTTTTTGATGAGAACATTCAATAAGTAACTTCTTTCAAGTAAAGGGCTCATCACACACCATAACCCAGAAGCGAGCAGCATTCCGCCTCAGGGCTGCTGAAATGGGAACACAATGCCTACATGCCTTTCCAGTCACACACAGATTCAAAATTCACACCGCCATCATCACTACCACCACCTCCCTCGACAAGGAAAGAATCCACTCCCCATCCAGTTCTGTGTGCTTTCTGTGTTCAATCAAAATCATTAAGCCGGAAAGAAACACGAAGGTCATCTGGTCTACCCCTCTCCTTCCAAAGAGGATGGTCAACTAAGCTTTTCTGGCTCTTAGCTGAGCTATTTCCCCTTGTATCTCAACTTGCATCTGTGTTCCTCAGGGCCTTCCTTGTGCTACCGCACAAGCTTTAGATGTTTCTACTGTCACACTTTTGACTACACTGTTTCTCCTACTTAGAACATCTTCCCCCCTGCCAATACAAATCCCAGCCATCCTTCCACATCAAACCCCAAGCTCTCTAAGGAGCCTTCCCGAAATTCGTCATCCTTTCTTCCTTCTCTGAAATGAGATAAAGCTCACTGAATTCATGCAGCCCCTTGCCTCTTAGACGTTACTTAACAGTTAATATATATTTATTAATTTTCTAACACTTAAAAGAAGTTAACGTTTATAAGAAACTTCAATCTTAAATTACTCTTCCTATAAAATACGTATCAGAGTAAACAGAAAGGGTTAGCATTTATCATGAAGCTAGTTACATCAGGTAATCATTAAAAAAATGAGTAGAAAGCTATTAATTTCCACATACTCAGAACTAGTGACTACAGAGATGATAAATGCCAGTCCTGTTGATTTTTTTAATATGTTTTCTATCATATGAGGACACCTGTATCAGACAACTGAATTCTTACATGTATCAGGTAGAGCAACTGAGGGTCTTCCTTCCTACGGAATGCTGTGGACGATGTTCTCCTGGAAGGAGACTGCGGTTTGATACAAGTCAATCCACAAATTCCGTGTTGGCTTTGCTTACTTATTGTTATGATAGCATTATTGAATTGTATAACTTGGAAAGAATTTAAAGACTACCTATTTGACCTCGGAGGAGGAAATGTACCCAAGAAAAGGTGAGCTAATGTGCTTCAGATCTCCCCTGTAGAAAGTGACAGAGGTGGGGCTAACATCCAAATCTGTTATCCAACGAAACCGGGAGCTGGATGGCTGGCAACCTCATCCCACCTGGCTCTTCAGTTTCACTTCCCTGTCTCACCACTGAGCAGCTTCCCCAGGTGCTCAGCACCAGACTGTCTTCCTGCCATTAACCAATTCCCCTATGTTGTTTCGTGTTGATGCCACGACTTCTCTTATCCTGCCAGGCAATTTCACCGTTTATTCCGGTTTTGCCCTTATCCAACGCCGCATCTGCCCAAACCAAACAGTTCTCTTACTTTAAACCCTTCCATATGTTCCAGACAAAGTTAATATGAAACTGAATCTAGTGACCACGACGACTATCTCACAAAGAGGCCTATTCTCTCCACCTAGGATTATATAAGTTTTTTTCTATTTCATGCTGTATATAGCATATAACATGCTGGAAAAAGACAGTTTCTCTTTAATCAGACAGGTAGTGTCTCAAGACACATAACCAAGCAAATGATTACCCATGCCAGTTAAGCAGGGAAGGTAGCAGAGCTCCCCGACACCACCAATAAATACCAAAAACATCAGCAGCTCTATCTCAAGAATGATTAACGTGATGCCTCCTTTTCTTATTCTTGTCAAGACACTACGAGGAGAATGAGGTGGTCAAAGCAGAAGACAGGACCAAGAGAAGGCCAGTAAAAAGTCCAAACAAATCAAAACTAGCTAGAGCGTAGTGATAAACCTCTGGACTCCAGTGGCCAACAGGTCAGTCTTGGTTCCGCCAGTATCCACTGAGTGACCCTGGGCATCCTGCTTAAACTCGCCCTCAGTTTCTTCATCCTGTAAGGGGAGAGTGGCGCCTCCCTCACAGGGCTGCCGTGGGAACTGAGTAAGTTAGTATCTGTAACACACTTAGGACAGTGCTTGACACATATTAAACCCCACAGAAGTTTTTGTTAACTAAAGTAAATCCTCATTCTGAAATTGTTTTTATGATCATACTACGTGTGTCTGCTGACCTCCAAATCTTACGAGGACCTAGAGACATCACGACGGTTCCCATCTCAGGCCACGTACACCCTGTATCCTCTATCATGAATTGTTTCGCAGTAATTCACTTTACACTTCCTTCACGTCAGGAATTAACAGGAATATACTCCTGGACTCTCTCAGTGGCTGCAGCCACCACACGTGGTGAGAAATGGCCTAACGTAGAAGACAAGGCCTGTGAACCCACAGAAGTTCTCGTTTGCCCACATGTCACAAATTCGACCTGTAACCCAGGACTAGAATTAGGGGACAACAGGCGACCTGCCATAGAGAAAACAAAACAGGGGGAAAACCCTTTGCCCCACATGTGTCTTCTTGGTACAGGGCTCACAGCAGAAAGCAAACTCCCCAGAGCTGTGCATGCTCACTGTCCCAAAGACTCCCCTCCCTCCCTTTCTTCCTTTTTGTCTGACCAGGCTCTTGGTTACACTAGTTTTGATCTTCTCAAGGCCACCAAAAAACTACCACTCTGCAAACCCAGCAAGACTTGTCTGACTCCCCGTCCCAGGAGCATTCACACTGCTGACACACCATTCCTTCTCATGGCTTCTAGGCCCCCATATTCTCCTGGGTATTCTGGCTGCGCCTTTCCTCGGGTGCCTCTGCTGGTTGCTCCGTGCCTCCCCGAGGAGCGCCCTGAGGCTCGTTCCTTGGTCCTCTTCTCTCTTCCATCCACACTCACCTCCATGGTGGGCTCATCCAGTCTTGCAGTTTGAAACACCCATATTCTCCACCAATGATTTTCAAATATAGATCTCCAGCCTGGGCCTAAATCCTGAACTCCTGATTGAATAACTCACTGAGATGTCTCATAAAATCCTAAACTTTGCTAGTCTAAACCTAACTCCTGACCTTGCCGCCAAACCTCCTCTTCCGTCTTGTCCATCTCTTCAAATGACACTCCCCACCTTCCCTTCCTCCTCCCACCTTCCTTTAAACCTTACCAGTCAGCAAGCCCTGTCGACTCTACCTTCTAATAAAACCCAGAATCCAACCACATCTCATCACCTCTAGCCTGCCCTCTGGTCCTTGTCATTATCCTCTCTCTTGAGTGCTGAAGTGCCCTCGTAAGCAATTCTCAGCTTTTGCCCTTGACCCACTGAAGTATTTTCTCTAAACAGCAGCCAAAGAGATGCCATTAAAATGTAAGTCAGATCATGTCACTCCCTTGTTCATAACCTCCCCCTGGCTTCTCATGTCACTCAGAAAAGCCAAAGTCCTTATGACAACTGCACAGCCCAACAGAACCTGCGTCGCCCCATCCCCAGGCCAGCAGCTCTCTGATCTCATCTCCTCCTGCTCTCCTGTGCTCGCCCCACACCAGCCACACCGGCCTCCTTGCTGCTCGGAGCTCCTATGCTCACTGCACCCTCTGCCTGGAACACCCTTTCCCCCACATCCACGTGACTTGCTCCCTCACCACTTTCCTATCTCGGGCCAGAAGTCGTTTTCTGGGTGAAGCTGTCCCTCACAACACTTTTTTGTTGGTGGTAGTTGAGGGGGAGATGGTTAGGTTTATTTATTTTTATTTATTTTTTAATGGAGGTTGCTGGGGATTGAACCCAGGACCTTGTGCACGCTGAGCATGTGCTCTATCACTGAGCTACACCCTCCCCACAACACTTTTTAAAATTGCAAACTACACCTGCTTAGCAATTCTTACCTCTCTTCTCTGCTTTATTTTTCTCCATAAGACTCCTCAACATTTTATTTTATAAATTCTGTGATAATATTTATAACATTATTTGCTTAGCCCCAGTAGAATATTTTGTCTTCCCCTGCTGGAGTATAAGCTCCAAGTAGGCGGGGACTGATGTCTGCTCGTGTTCATGGCTGCATTCCTACTACCTATAAGTACCGTGTATACAGTAGGTGCTCAGTAAATATTTACTGAATGAATGGGAATCATGGTTCCCTCAGTTCCTCTTACCCAAGACCGTCATCACCGTCTTCATTAGCTTCATGGGTGTCCTCCGGCGGCTGATGGACCCACTTGTGTGTGGAGACAAGACGTTGGTCTTCCTCTTCACGTACATGTAGATCCGCAGGTACACCACCACCATGATGAAAAAGGCCATGAGGTTGGACACTGTCCAGAAAATGAGGTAACTCCTGCTGTAGATGGGGGCCAGGGAAGAGCAGGCAGAGATGTCACAGAGGCAATTCCAGCCCAGCGTGGGGACAGCCCCCATAAAGATGGCGATGGCCCAGATGGATAAGATGAGCAGCGTCACCCTCTTCTTGGTCAGGTTGCTGTGGACCCGCATCCGCATGATGGACATGTGCCTCTCCACGGCAATGACAAACAAATTGGTCAGGGAGGCGGTTAAGCTAGTGTCCAGAAGCCCCTGGCGGAGAAACCAGCGGTTGACAGTCAGAGTTTTTGAAACTGGGCCGGTATTAAACATCAGGTATACGTAGGCGATGCCAGCGAAGAAATCTGCAGCCGCGAGGTTAGCCAGCAGGTAGTAGAAGGGGAAGTGGAACTTTCTGTTTTTGATCACTGCTGCGATGACCAGAGAGTTAGAAAAAAAGATAAACAGGCAGAAAAATGTTCCGACACACAAAACAATGACAAGCGTCGTTCCTGTCCACTCATCGGCTGTGTCAGTGTTGCTCCTATTATAAAAAAAGTCCATGCGCTTATCATAGTAACACTCATTCATTGTGGAGAAGAACTGAACATCCTAGAAAGGAATTTAAAGAAGAAATAAATATCACTCTTTGCAAAACTCAATCACTAAACCACCCATTGCCATTGCTAAGCCCCTTGTTCTGGTCAACTCCTGTCAAACCCCTCAGCTCTCAGGGTGAATGCCCCAAGCTCTAGGATCCTAGCCCCTGACCTTCCTTCTATCACAGCATTTATCTTGCATTGGTCATTGTTTCCCAGGTTAGGTGCAAGCTCAGGGAGGGAGGGTCTGTGTCTATTTTGTTCACCATAACCCCAGGACCCAAAAGCCCTGGCTGCCTTAGAACAGGTATTTGCTGAATGGCTGGCTGGCTGGCTGGCTGGCTGGCTGGCTGAAGGATCGTGGAGGCAGAAACAAGTCCAACATGCTGAGCCCTGCAATAATCTACTCTGCACTGGTAGTAAGTACAGCCTAGCACGTTAGCACTTTCTCCTGGTGGTTTCCAGCTCAGTTCTTGTTTATGGGTTCTGTTCATTAATCAAGGGCATGTTGGTAATGCCAGGCACATTCTTGCCAAGACAGCAGGTGTTGAGTGGCTACTCTTCACACGACCAGAAGGCTTCCCCAAGAGCTCGATTCTCCACCACTTCTGATACCGCTCCTGATCGGCCTCTGACCGTCTCTCGGTTACAAGCCACAGCGACGACACCCCCTTGGTAAGCATGTGGTGCAGGGCTGGAGACTCTGGTCTCAATCCTTCCTTACCTTTTGGTTCACTTCTTCCTTAGTCTCCTAATCCAAATGGGACCAACGTGAATTTGCGCACTGGGTTTTTCACCTCAGTCACTTCAAGTCAGTGACCTTCTCTGGGCTCTCGTCAGCACAGCAGGTGATAGAAGACCAGGCCTCCATGAGCAAGACTAGGACCTGGAGTTGGACAGACATCCAAGGGTGTGAGAATGCATCCGCCAAGTAAGAGCAAGTCCTCCAGATCCCAACCTGGGGAAGCAGGCAGACAGGCAAGACACTGATCGCAGGACGGGACCCCTTGGAGCCAAAAGTGAGGGAGTCCGGCCAAGGAAGGGCTGGGCAGGGGCTCTAATGACGGGCACCCACCTGTGCTTGTTGGGAAGAGCAGGTGTTCTGCCTCACAGTGGTCTGGCCATAAGCAGGAAGGGTCCCATCGATGGAGACTGGGGTTGAAGGCCAGAAAATCTAGCTTCTGGGGAGAATGACCAAGGGCTCTCTCTCAAGAAATGAGGCTACAATTTTTTTTTTGCTGGAGAACTGGAAATCCAGTAGGCCCAGGCACTGAGTCCACTGGTGGGACTGAAGTGGCTCTGACAGCAAAAGCTTATAGAAATCCCCAGCTTTTAAGGTTCTTATAAATTCTGCACAGTACCACATCCAGAATTGGGATAAGCAGATCAAACATCCGTGTGATGTAGTACAAAAGAGAAATGTACTGTAGAATCTTCTTTCTAATTTATATTTAACAGTGTAATGAAATTTTTAAGTGAATTAGATGCATGCTTCTCTGCAATAGCAAGTGGAAGGTAAAATATCATTTTATCTGCTTAAAATAAACTAAGAGTGGACTCAGGAGACAAATGGCTCTAGTGCTTTCAATTACAAGGAAGGAGGATTCAATTTTAATAACAAAATAAAAATATTCTCTTTGGAAGACATCCACAATATTGAACTGCCAGTATCAGATAACTCCATTCAACAGACCAATATATCTACAATGTATCATGATAATTTTCCCAAATTAAAAATACAGACATGTGCTAACTTTAATAGCTTCATAATAGTTTCGTATATGAGTGTACCACACTTAACTAATCCCTAACTGTTGGATATTTAGGTTGTTTCCAATATTTCACTTTCATAAGCAAGGCTACATTCTTATGTATTAATCTTTACACACTTGGCCAATTATTTCCTTAGGATTAATCCCTAGATTTCAAGTTGATGAAGTAAAGAATATTAATTTATTTAAAGGTTTCTGAGACATATTGTCGAACTGCCCTTAAGACACATTGTATTTTGAATCCCACCAGCAGCATTTGAGAATTTAATAGAAGACACTAATCTAGTGAAATTCAACTTTAATATCCAGGGAGAAAATGTAGCTTTCAACAGTGTTGAAAATGTATAGAAATTCAATACAATCCAAGAACCACATGAGAAATTTTAATGATTACGTGTCCTTTCACTAATGAAAAACATTTATGTATTTTATTTTTGTGTATGCTCTAGATAGCTAGAAGAAATACATTTCTCACTTTAAAATTCTATCATCCTTGATTAGCTCACCAGCTTATCAAGATGAACATGTCAGAAAGATGCAGGAATTAACACACTACCAAAAAAACTTTAAATTTTCCTAATTTCTTTTTAAAGGGGTCTTAACAATTAGTTTTGGTTCATAAATGTGGTTGAATTTGTGATTATATGATACCCTAAAGCCTCACATTTTTACTTCAAAAATCTTCAAATACAACTTCCCCATCCAAACCAGAATGGCACACCCTTAGACATACTTTAGCCAAACGCGTCCTGAGAATGAGAAGTAGTTTTGTCTCACAAAGTTAAGCAGGAAAACCATGATTCACCAGAACTCCCATCAAGCAGCTCCCTACCTCCCAGCCTCAAATTCTTACTGGAAGAATCAGACCATGAGAATTTTTTAAATTCATATAGGGAATTGGTGAAAAAGATTCCACGGGGTGAAATATTATGCAGCCATTGAAAACTGCATCTACAATGAAGTTGCAGTAATATAAGGAAAAGTACATACCAGTATTTTAATTATAATTATATATACATGTGTTTATATATACACATATATTAACACACAGAAATATGTGTCTTGACTATTTTTAGAAGATATAGAAAAAAGATAAGAAGAAAACTCACAGTGTAAATAGTTAATTAAGAATGGTAGAATTGTGGGTCATTTTTTAAAAATTCCTTCCAGGTTTTTCCATGTTCCACATTTTCCATAGTAAATAAATAAATAGACTTTTAAATGGCACTTCATAAATTCTGTCTTAGGAACACACATTCCACTTAATCCATCTTTCTTTGACTACTACAGCCCTGAAAAATCAAAATCAACGCTTAAAGGAAATGCCTCAAGGATTCGCTTAGGTCCACTGTTACCAGTCTCACCAGCACAGCACACTTTATACAGCTTCCCAGCAATAGTGAAAATAAGATGGTTTCAACTTAAAACTTCAAGCAACCACAAAACCTCATAAGCTGACAGCTGACCAAATCAGGCCGTCACTCGCCCCAACTCTCCTATAAAACACTTCCTAACACCATCACCTCAGCGCCCTCAAAAACGAACAACTGAAAGTTCTGTGAATCAGTAGTTTTGATTTTTTTTTCTCCTCTGCCATAAGCAGCCGAGCTTGCTGACATTTCAACTTATTAATTACAGATGACCATATTCTCTTAGCTGGAAATTACCAAAAACTTTAGTGAGCTTGTAACAAATGATCTGATCATCATTTCTTGACCTCTCTCAAACCTTCCAACATGATTCTATGATCCGAGCCTAAACATTCCCTCCACAGAGACCCTCTCTGGACAATCCAAAGAAACCCCCAGCTCTCGCCACCAGACAGCCCTGTTTCCTCTGCCAATTGTTACATATTTTTTGTGTGTCTCTGCCTTTATCGTCCATTCCCCACTGCTAGAGCATTTCACTTCAGCAGAGCAGGGACCTCGCCTCTTATGCTTGTGTTTATAGCATCAGCATGTGTGGGATGAACAAATGAATCTCCATCCTACACTCTCTCTTCCCCTACTAAAATGAAAAGGTTCAGTTGAATACTTTTGCTGATCACAGGTCACCCACTAAATATGCAAATTAGAGAACTCCATCACTGATTATGTGTTTTGGGGCTAGTTTCTTAATATCTTGACTTCATTATTACTATATGGGGGGGTTGGTAATTAGGGTTTTTTTTTTTTTCAGTGGAGACATTGGGGAATGAACCCTGGATCTCACATGTGCTAAACACACACTCTATCACTGAGCTATACCTTACACCCCCCCCCCGTTGTTACTATTTTTAATTGCTAATATTGGAGTGATTACTTTGTGCTGGGTGCTGGACTAAGCATTTTACATGGGTCATCTCCCTTAATCCTCCCCACAAAAATTAGTTACTATTAACACATTCATTTTGCAGGTGAGGAAACTGAAGCACGCTTGTCTAAGTTCACACAACTGGGAAGTGGAGGACCCTGCCTTCCCCTTAGGCAGCTGTGCTTCCGGGCCTGCCCTGTTTATCTACCACGCTGCATTTTCTTTCTACAGACAAACCAAACATTAGACAGGCCAAAACTACAGTCATACTTAAAGTAACTATGGAATTACCAAAATAGAAAGATCCCATCAAATGACATTCAAAAACTGCCTTGCACTATTAAAAAATGTGGGCATTCCAAATAGACTTTCGGATTTTTATTTAGTTTTAAAAGCCCTGAGAAGTAGAGAAAAGGCATTTTTCTGAAAACACGTATTGAAATTTTATGGTAAGTAGGCCACACAATACAATTTCAAGACTAGTTTAACGTTGCTAAACTTTAATTCTGCCAAATCCCAAGATGTTTGTGTTTTTTTTTCTTTTTTTTTTTTTTTCTTTCTTCGTTTTTACACTAAAAGTTTAGAGGGTTTGAATAGTTCTGACCCAGAAACAAAAGATGTTAAGCTTTGGAGCTACTACCACAACTTCAAACTTCAGTAATTTAAGGCTTCATAAAATGATGGTTTAGAAAGTCTATATGTGGAACCCAAATGAAAACTTCATGAGCAAAGCTTTCATTTAGATTCTCCCAAACTGGATTCTCTGAAAAACTGTCCAACCAGCCAATAATGTGGAAACAATTATGAAAATTAAGACATCTGAAAACCACTCAAGCAGCTTATTCTGAGCTATATCTTTCAAGACAAGCTGCTGCGGGCCTTTTAGCTGGCTTTCAATAACACTTCCTTCTTCCCCTTAGGACGAAATCGGGTGCATCCAGAGTAAGAGTAATTGGCGGTGTGCATGTTTCATTTCCTGTGGTCCACACACGTGGAACAGCCCTCTCCTCTCTGGAAACTCCAGCCAGACGGGAGTCGGAGATTAGTAGCTTGTATGCTCACAGCCAGAAGAGAGACCACTCCGGCACAAGCAATCACATTTGCTCACTGAATTCCTTTTAATAATTCATGTTAATGGCAAAATCAGGATAATATGGGAAATTTAAATCCACATATGATCCCTCAGGTTCATTTCAGCCATGAGTTTCAAAGCCTTCAGACTTTCTGTTCCTCTGCGGGAAGCCGCTTAATCCAGACACCCTCAGGGCTCATTTCTTCACCTCATTCGGCCCAAATGTCAATTCATCAGCGATTCCCTTCCCTGACACTCTCTACAAGAGCACCTCCCCAAAGGCCACACCCGCACTGCCCCGCTGCCCCTTCCCCTGCTTTGTTTTTCTTTGCAGCATTTCTCACTACCTGACACTACCCACCTGTGGCTATGTGGGCTTAGGAAGTCAGGGACTTTGTGCTGTTACAGTGCAACCCCCTTACCTAGAACAATGACCAGCACATAGTAGGCATGCAGTAAATGCTTGTTAAATGTGGAATAAAATGAAGTACACTTGTGCACACATACTTGCATGCACCCTACCCGTCCACCCAAACTGAGCATGATTACTTTCTTTTTTCTTCTGCATATTCTCTATTTTGGATCTTAGAACTCTTGCATTTCCCACTATAGACTTGGCTCCGAGCCCTGCTGGCTGAGGGGTGTGAGGAGTGGTGTTTGTCACCCTTGAACAGTGGCTTCACCAGAGAAGACAAGCCAGGGTGGTCTGAAGGGCGGTCCCATGGAAGAGACCTCTCCTCCGCCTGTATGAACATCAGAAATGAAG